GGGGGGCAAAACAGCAAAACGGAGGCGCAGGTTCACACTCTGGTTCTGTAAACCCCAGCTGGAGATCAGATGCAGTTATTCACCCTCTGTTTGGGCTGCCTCCTTTTGTCTTTTCTAAATGGCTCACTTCCACAGTTCTAAGATCATTTTGAGCGGAAATGTGCTCTAGACAAGTGACACCTTCAGCCACGGCCATCCTAGCTGCAGTCATCTAAGTGGGAACGGAGGAGGGAGATAACTCAAGACTTTGGGGCCTGGCAATAAGAGGGATGGGGATGGGCGCTCTACCGGCTTCTTTGAGTCACCCCAGTAATCCTCACCCCACCGCCCTCTACACGTCAGGTATTCTCAAGCTCTTCGTACAGGTGAGCATGTGGCGGTGTCCCTGCAATCACATCCGGGGCAAAATGAGCGCAAGGGGTGGTTTGGGGGCCGGGCTGCTGGCATTGGGTTGTTCACGTCTGGTTCTAAGTAGTGTTTTTACCCCCATTTTAACCATCAGTGCCCTCTTTGTCCTTTTTATGGACAATCTCAAAAGAATAGCAACTGAAAGTAATAGCAAATTTAATGCAGAAAGGAGAAGATAAAGCTGTTGGGCTGGGGAGATAGGGAAATGGGCCTTCCTCCCACACAAGCCCTCCCAAAGGGTTCTTCCTGCCAGCAGTTAGGAGGCCTGAACACCGCCTCTCACCTGGGAGAACCCCAGCCTGCTTCCTGCCAAAAACAGTCTGGAAACACCTACTCCGAAATCACACAAAATTAAAATTCCATGTTGTCTCTCAATAAATTACCCTCTGGGGAAATCAAACATCTTAGCAATGACAATAGAGGAAGCCCTTCTCAAAAGCTTGTAAGGAGTGTAAGGGTTCTTTCGGTAACTGGGCCAATTCTCAAAGGCCCGTTTGATTCACAGATAGGTAAAGTATGATATAGTCTATGATAATAGAACATACTAAGTGCAATATAGGAAATATACCTTTTAGCTTCAAGCCATTCAAGTTCTGGTTCTTTAACCTAGTGGTATTAAAAGCATTTGGGCCCGGCCAGTATGGACCAGTGGTTGAGCGTCGACCTATGAATGAGGAAGTCACAGTTCGATTCCGGTCAAGAGCACATGCCTGTGTTGCAGGCTAGATCCCCAGTGTGGGGCACATAGGAGGCAGCCAATTGATGATTCTCATCATTGATGTTTCTATGTCTCTCTTCCTCTCCCTTCCTCTCTGAAATCAATAAAAATATATTTTTAGAGGGAATAGGGAAACAAGGGAGAAAAAGGAGGGAACCTCACGTACTTCACGGGAGGTTTGAGCTCTGGAGTTGCTATAGTAACCAATCTAAGGGGAAAGTGACCAATCAGAGGGGATATCAAGGCGTAAAGATCTGCAGCCTTTATAAACCGTAGAGAAAAGGGACTCAGCTGAGCGGGGAAAAGAAACTGCTTGTTTCTCAATAAATTTCCACCTTTTGTTATACCAAAAAAATAATAATAATATAATAATAATGTGTATATATTAAATCATTTGGGAAGGCTAGAAAAAATATATACCCCTGGCTGGTGTTGCTTGGTGCTTAGAGTGCCGGTCCGCGCACCAAAGGGTCTTGGGTTCAATTCCTGGTCAAGGGGAAGTACCTGGGTTGCAGGTTCAATCCCCAGCCCTATCAGAGTGTGTGTGGGAGGCAACCAGTCAGATGTTTCTGATGTTTCTCTTTCACATCAATGTTTCTCTTTCTGTCCCTTCCATTCTCTCTAAAAATTAATGGAAAAAATATCCTTGGATGAGGATTAACAACAACAAAACAAAAAAATATATATGCCAGGCCTTCCCCCAAGTCGATTCTGAACCTCTGCAAGTGAGCATTGTATAGAGCAGGGGTCCTCAAACTTTTTAAACAGGGGGCCAGTTCACTGTCCCTCAGACCGTTGGAGGGCCGGACTATAGTTTAAAAAAAACTATGAACAAATTCCTATGCACACTGCACATATCTTATTTTGCAGTAAAAAAACAAAACGGGAACAAATGCAATATTTGTATTTGCATGTGGCCCGCCAAGTTGCTCAGGTGTTTCTAATGTGCAACCAAAGTTGAGAAAAGCCTGCACCAGAGGCTGCTCCGGGTGTATTTTTAGAGGTGGGGGAGCAGGAAGGCTCTGCTTCCAGCCGCCCTTGGTGATAAGGCTCATTGCTGTCAATGGAGGCTGGAGAGACCTTCCAAGTGTTGACCCCTGGCAGCAGCAGCAATGAGGGGTTAGGAAACTCTCTAGTAACAGCATCTCCAGCAACATGAGGTAGAGCAGAAGAGAGAATTCCTGAGGCTAGGCCAGTTAAGTTCATGTCTCCCTCATTAGGGCAGTGAACAGAAGCCATTGTCTACTTGTACACATAACACATCTTGAAATTTCAACCAAAATCACTTTGCAACATCAGCCACAGATACCACAGGATTCTTGGAAGAGATTTTTTTTTTTAATATTTTTATTTTATTTTTTTTTAGAGAGGAAGGGAGAGGGATAGAGAGATAGAAACATAGATGAGAGAAAGCATTTATTGGCTGCCTCCTGCACACCCCCTCTGGGGATAGAGGTAACCACTGAGTCACACTGGCAGGCTGGAAGAGAGTTTTTGATGGGAGCCTGAAACCTTGAGGGAAGGTAGGGCAGATAATTGCAGAAGAAAGTGAAGGATATGTCCTGCACTCACAATTGCATTCTTCCAAATTTTACTGTATGCTCACTGTGCCTAAATTATTAGTCTCAAAAAGGAGACTGATTCTGTATGCTTCAGAAGCCTCAGTCACCTTGTTATATGTGGCTTTTGCTCAAAATGTTAGCGGACAGGCCCTGGCTAGGTGGCTCAGTTGGTTAGAGCATCATTCCGGTAAGCCAGGGTTTCAGGTTTGATGCCCAGTCAGGGCACATGCAAGAATCAACCAATGAATGCATAACGAGGTGGACAACAAATGGATGTTTCTCTCTCTCTCAAATCAATTTTTAAAAAATGTTACCAGAAGAGGTCTGGGCCCAGGGTGGTTCTGCCTAGGGCCCACTGGTGGTGTGTGGAGTCTTGATTTCCTGTAGGAAAAATTTCACATGAGTCCAGCTGGGGACTGAGAAACAAAGGAAGGCCTTAAGGTAGAAAAAGTGATGGAGTGAGAAAGTCAGAGAAAAGGGGGCTTTGAAGACGAGTTCAGGAGGTCAGCCTGGGACGAGCTGCCACTGACCATTGCTCTGCTGGTAGCAAGTCTTGTGGTTTCCTTTAGAGTTTAGGAGAAAAACAGCAAAGATACAAGTCCTGGGCATGCTCTAGCGAGAGTGTAGTAGATCCTTTATCTTGAGGCTTTTTATCTTTCTTTGGTGGCAGGAATTCTAGGGGAGATCTCAGGTGAGGGTCTCAACAGAATATTCCTTAGCTTTGCAGGTGTGTCCTAAATATGTTGATTTGTCAAAATGTGTGTAGAGAGGGGCCAGGGTTACTTCCTGATTAGTTTTATTTTTTACTAGAGGCACAATGCATGGATTTGGGCACCAGTGGGGTCCCTCAGTGCGGCCTGTGGGGATTGGGCCGAAACTGGCAGTCCAACGCCGCCTGCCGCTTCTGCCTGCTCCTCCTGCTCCTGGCCTCACTGCACCTGCCACTGCCGCTGCTCACTAGGCTCGCTGCTGCTTTGCTGCGGTCTCTGGGTGTGGCGGCAGCTGTGAGCCCTGTGTCTGGTGCCTGTCCATCAGCTGAGCGGTGGTCCTGCAGTGGGAGTGCACTGACCCCCAGGGGCAGCTCCTGCGTTGAGCATCTGCCCCCTGGTGGTCAGTGTGCATCATAGTGAGCAGTCGAACGGTCACTTGGGCTTATATATATAGATGATTTATTTTTTAAATAATTATTTTTTTATTGATTTCAGAGAGGAAGGGAGAGGGAGAGAGAGATAGAAACATCAAGGATGAGTGAGAATCATCGATCAGCTGCCTCCTGCATGCCCCACACTGGGGATCAAGCCTGAAACCTGGGCATGTGCCCTTGACCAGAATCAACCCCGGACCCTTCAGTCCGAAGGCTGACGCTCTATCCACTGAGCCAAACCAGCCAAGGCAATAAAGACTTATTTTTAAAAACTGTTTGGCTTTGTCTAATTACTTTATCTCAGTTTCCCTTATTCCACTTGTCAAGGAATTTCCCTAGCTTCTTACTATTCTGCCTTAAAAAGATGCCAACACACATCACCAAAAAACACTTGCATTTATAAATGAGGGGGTATAGAAGGTCCAAGTAGGTGGGATTTGGGATAATGTACAAGTTTATGGATTAAGGGGCAGGAGCAAATGGCTAAGGAGGATTGCTGAGAGCAAAGATTGGTGAATAGGGCCTGGCTGTTGCCACCCACCCCGACTGCGCTGCCTTACATGGGGTGCTGTTCAGAGCCTCTTGAACACCCCATGTTTTTGGCCAACCCCCATGCTCAGAGTAGGACCTGTAAAAGCACGGCGGGGAGGAGCTGTTTCCTAGGTAGAGCCTGTTTGCAAGATGAGAAAGTTCTGGAGGTCGGTTACACAATGTGAATACAGTGGGGCCTTGACTTACGAGTTTAATTTTTTTCCGAGACCGAGCTCGTTAAGGAGC